TGCTGAGCCCGCGCCCCGCTGGTGCTGCCCTGCAGGTGACCTGGCGGGCAGCAGCTGCCCCTTCGGAATGGCCCTGGCTATGCTGTCCAAGTCCAGTCTTCAGTTCGTGCTGGCCACCAGCGTGGCCCTGGCTGCCGGCTTCCTGGCCTGGTACTACATGTGAAGGACTCGCCGGCCCGCCCCGCCCCGCCGGACCCAGGGCCGCCCCAGGAGGCTGGCACGCGCAGGGTCTGAACAAGCAGCCAATAAAGCCAGATGCCAACGGCTCCACCTGGCAGTATCCTCTCTGCGGGCAGGCGCCGAGCTGCGCTCAGCCCGGCCACCCTGCAGCCCCCAAGCGGTGGCACTGGGGCCAGCCTCCTGGCTGAGCCCCTAGAACCAGCTCTGCCCCCGGAGCGCCCACATCTCCACTCCCAGGCTCACTCCCACAACCGCCTGGTGTCGGGCCTTCCCTCCCCCATGGCCGGGGCTGCTCTAGCTCCGCGGGAGGGCGGGGTGGTCTTGGGCGGCAGCGGGTAAGCGACGTAGCACCTTGCCTCAGAGACCCCAGGAGCTCCAGCCCGGCAGCTGGCAGCCCCCAAGCATCTGTGCGGCCAAGGCCTGTTGCTCTGACCTGTGTAAATGCTACAGCGTTCAATAAAGAGGACTGACGGCCGCCGCCTCCTGCCTGGCGTGGTGTCCCCTTCACGTCGCCCTGGCCCCTCCTGTCCTGGTGCCCCACGTGCCGCTGGTCACTGTCCAGCAGGCCTTCCCAGGGCGAAGTCATGCTGACCTCTCACTTGAGCCCTTCAATTTCATTGTCCTGTAGTTCCCTGACTCCGAAGGGCTTTGGAGGGTCCCCACTTTGCATCCAATGAGGATACAAAAGCATGTGTTTGTGTAACAGTCCCATGTTTGCAACAGCTGTGAGCGAGTGTGTGTGTGACTAGGACTTGGCTGTCCTGCACGCTGCTTGGACAGAGCAGAGGGGGCTCCTGAGCCAGCCTGGGGCTCAGGCTGCTGTTCCCCTCCCATCACCCTCAGGCCAGAAGCCTCAGGCCTGTGGCTCTGCCTCACTTAGGGGAACACGGTGCCCACCTGCGGCTGGCTGACTTGGGGTGGGGGGTGTCGCTCAAGGAGACACCAGCACTGTGGCGCTGGCTGCCTGTGCCCAGATCATCAGTCACACTGGACTGACTTGTCACCGGGCAGCTGGGCAGTCTGGACTGCATGAGCACCCAAGAGCGGGGACTTAGATTGTCTGAAACTCCACCCTGCCCCTCCCAAAGAAGGAAGCCAGGCGAGTGAGCAGAGGCGCGGGGGAGTGAAAGGCCAATTTAATGAGAAACTACGAACGGAGACCGGCCACAGTTCACAGTGAGGGGGGCCATGCAGTGGCGGTGCGAGACCAGGAGGGGGCGGCAGCAGGGGACAGCAGTCCGCGTGAGCGGGTCTGCAAGAGACCTCAGCAGGAGACTGGGGCAGGCCCAGGCGGGGCTGGTGTCCAGCAGGGGGCTGCGTCTTCTGGTCCCCTACCCAAGGCCACAGCTGCTCCTGTGGCGCCTGTGGGGTAGCAAGCGCCGCTGGGAGGGGACCGAGGCAGCCCACGGGCCAGGCCTCCCTACGACCAGCCCTGGCTGAGACGCGCCAGCCACCGGGCAGCAAGAACCTAGTGTGGCAGAGGGCAAGGGTCCTGGGCATTGGTTCTTTCAGCCCCAGTGTGGACAGGTACGTGGAGGTGTGGCCAGAGTGGGCGCTGGCAGGAGAGGCCAGTTCCTCCGCGGCAAGCACAGCACGGTCGCTCGGCCGGGTACCTGCGCGTCGCTGCGTTGCGGCCTTACCTACGGTGGCCCCGGGCATAAGGTGTTGAGTCCTGAGAGTTCTGAGGGTCAGAGCCATTCCTTCTGACCGTCATGCCCACCGCTAGTGCCCCAGAAGCAAACCTGGCCTCCTGGCCCTGTCCTGTTTGGGGCCTGCAGGTCCGAAACCACTGGCTCCAGGCCCCGGGCCTGGCGAACCCATTACTGCCGTCTGCTTTTGGCCGAGGGAGCCAGGGCCGAACCCATACCTGGTCCAGAAATGAAGGCCACCGTGCGCGGACACCTGCCCGGCTCGCCTGCTGGTCACACCAGCAGCAGCTGGCACACAGGCTCTGCCACCCGCCACCTGCTCACCCCTGGCCGTAAATCCAACAGTTTTTGCTGAAAGAGTCAGATGCTCAGGGTAGGGCGAGGCGAAGAGGACAAGATGTCCAGGGGGCTGGGGGACAGCTTCCGCCCCCAAGGGAGTGGGGAAGCGCCGCTGAGTGCGGGGACAAAGCACAGGGGTCGGATGGTCGGCGGGGCCCGCCGGCTTCGCTAGCACAGGCGCTTGTACGTGTAGATGTAGGCTTTGCAGCTGGGGCACGTGTGCGTCACGTCCTTGAAGTCGTTGATGAGGCAGGGGATCAGGCAGCAGCCCAGGTCACACCTGCAGCGGAGAGAGGGGTGGGCGGGCCTGAGGGCCGGCCGGGGGCCTGAGCCCCGCCCCTGCCCCAGCGCCCGCCCGCCACCTACCCCATGAAGCAGCAGAAGAAGCCCAGCACGAAGTTCATCAGGCCGATCTCGTAGGAGATTTTGGTGGTGATGGCCTGCTGGCAGTGGGGGCACACCGTCTGCACGGGAGCACCCTCGAAGATCTCCCCCTGCAGCACTGTCACCGTGGTAGCTGCCCCCGAAGGGACCAGGACTGTGGCCGTGTGGCCCCCAGGCCCTGGGTAGGGGCCCGGCGGGTAGGGCCCCGGCGGGTAGTAGCCCATGGGGGCGTGGGGGCCTGGAGGAGGGTAGAAGCCTGGAACAGCACAGAAGCAGTGGACAGGTCACTGGCTGGCCCTACCCCTGGACAGATGGGCACAAAAGCCCCATAGCCCCACACCCAGGCTGCAGGGGAGGTGCTGGGGCAGGGCCTTGGGCCTCGGCCACCCACATCCTGGCCAGTGTGGCAAAGAGCTGGGCGCCATCCTGCCCTCTGAGGACACGCTGGGGGCTGGGCTAGCGTTGCGGGCTCTGCAGCCCTCCAGTGCCTGCCAGTTACTGGGGCAACGGGGCCACCCACCTGCTGCGCCAGCCCTTGCACAGGACCAGCCACCCCTCTGGAGGCCGCTGGGTGAGCCGGAGCCCAGGCTCCCCAGGGCCGGGTCTCTGGCCCGGAGACACCTTCCCAGGCCCCCACCCTGGAGGGCTGCGTGTGCAGGCCCGGCCCACTCACCTGGAGGCACGTAAGTGCCATCTGCATTCACATGCGGGGGGATGAAGCCAGGCTGGGGCATTGGGTGGCCCGGCGGCTCATAGGGCGGGGGGCCGACGTCCGCAGGAGGCAGAGACATGCCCGGCGGGGGCTGCATCACGGCTGGGGAGGAGCGGCCTGGACAGGCAGGAAGAGATGGCTCAGGGCCCGGCCCAGCTGAGGGGAGGCTGCTCCGGCACTCGGCTGGGCCCGGGACAGGGCACTTCTCACTCAGCCCTACCTGGGGTGGATGGGGCTCCACTTTTTTCCTCCAAAAGTGGGGCTGTGGGGCCCCCAGGATAGGGAGGGGGAGGCTCATTCGACGACATCTTCACTGTCTTCTGGACCTGAAGGGAAGGCCCAGAGGGGAGCTCAGCTTCCAGCCCCCCAAGTGCCGAGGGGCTGCTGCACAAGGTGGGTGACGGCCTCAGCTGCAGGTGCCACACACCTGGGACTCCCCTGCAGGTGTCCCCTGCCCTTGGTCCCTTCCACGTAAATCCCCAGGTCTGTGGATGACGTCCTGGGAGAGCGGCCCCAGGACACCCACCATGCTGGAGGCAACCAGGGCGAAGCTACCCCTCGGCCGCCGTCCCAGCTTCCCACCAGAGGGCAGCCTGGGGAGGCAGGAAGGACCCCCCAGGACAGTTTGGGTGCTGGTCCACTTGCCCCCACCGGCGGGAGCCCACTGTCGCCCAGGGCACTGGGAGCCACTTGTGAAGGGGCCAGGGAGAAATTTTACCTCAAGTCCCAGATGCTCAGGAGGCGGCGGTGAGGCGCTCGCTGCCAGCCAGGCGGACACGCAGGGCTCGGGGGCTAGGGTGTGACAGGCAGAACCTGACTCCTGGCTCCACCCACACCCTCTCCCGTCACCCAGAACCACCTGGCATCCCCACGCGCCAGTCCTGCCCTTCTCGGCTTCCTGCTCCCCACCAGGCCACACCAGCCCGGGCCCCCTTCTCTGTTGCCTCTGGGGCAGGGAGCTGGCTCGAGCAGGGGCTTCCCTCCGCTCGTGGTCTCGGAAGCTGAAGAGCAGTCACATTCTGAAGTGGGACTCACTTTGCTTTTTTAGAACTGAGAGTGAAATGATGGACAGTCCATCAGCCCAAAGACACAGTGACGCGGCTCTTCACACAGCCCTCCAGAGCCGGGCCTCTGGCCAGGTGCGTCTGGGCCAGAGCTGGAATATTAAGTGGAAGAAGCCAGCGACAAGGCAGGGACTGAATTCAAGCAAGAAAAGGCGAAAAGATAAGTTCGTCAAGATTAAAACCTGTGCTATCAGAAGTGAAAAGTGGCCCCAGAGCAGGAGAAAGTGCACGCAGCTTGCTCCAGGCCCCACCTCAGACCTAGGCAAGTCTGCATGCCAGCCTGCAGCGCCCGGACAAAGGCTCTGAGCCGACATTTCTCCAAAGACAAATGCCCCACAGACGCACTGAAAGATGCTGACCGTTGCTAGCAAATGAAGTCACAATGAGGTACCCACTGGGAGGGTAAAAAGTAGCACATCACGTAGAAAAAAATTGTTAATTCTTGGGGAAGTACCCAAAAGTAGAATATCTGGGAACTTTTATTGGAAAACTATTGCTTTGGAACTTGGCGCTTTATCTTTCTTCTATTTTTATTATCTGTAGTCTGCACAACCACCCAGCTGCCACTGCAAAGACTGGGGGTGACCACAGAGGCCACAGCCTCAGGGCCGTAGATGGAGCTTCTGTTTGCCTTCTGTTGGATTTTAAAGCCACGAGGCAATGCCATCTCACGCCCCTGCCGATAGCACATATTGAGAAGACCCCGGACAGTGAGTGTTGGAGGGATGTGGGGGAAGACGAGCCCCACTACACTGCTGGTGCAGTGCAAACTGGCAGCCATGGAAGGCAGCCGGTCTAAAGCTAAAAGTGGAAGTAACGTAGGACTCAGCAGTCCCACTCCTTGGAGAATATGAAACCATCATCAGGACACCCCCGTCCCAGTGTTCAGAGCAGTGCTAGTTACAGTTGCAAGAACAGAGAAGCAGCTGAAATGCCCCAGACACATGGCTGTATTAAGATGTAACATGACCACATGATGGAGTACTATGCAGCTAGGAAAAGAGAAAATGCCTTTTTGAAACAAAATGGGCATTTGAAAGAATTAGTGCAGCAAAGTATGTCACAATGATAACAAAAAAAAAAAACAAACCCTGCATATTTACACAGTTCAATCACTCAAAAACCAGTGGACATGAATAAACGGTCCGAGGGCTGGAGGTTAAGAGGGAGGGGAGCAGAGTTGGTCCTTCAGGCAGAGACCTACCTCCAAGAAAATGTCAATATCAAAGGATGTTCACAAGGAATGTCCCCAGATGTTACTGTGGCAACACTGCAAGCCTCTGAGTGGGCCCAGTGCACTTGGCACTGTCATAAACAAGAACGGAATTTGCCAAGAGAATGTTCACACCAAGCATCTGAAGCACTCAAAGGGACAAGGCAGTTTCCTGAAACGTGTGAAGGAAAACGACAGAAGCAGCAGGAAGCGCGCGAGGTGCTCGGGTTCGGTGGAAGCACCGGCCCACTCCAAGCGGCGCAGCTGTGAGACCGTGGCACTGGGAGGAGAGGAGCTGCCGGCCCCTCCCGAGGGCCCCCGGAGCACAGGTACGAAAATAAAGGACCACGAGGCTTATGACTCGCACCCTGGCACCTGCCCGGTGTGGCCGTTCCCCACATGCACCCCGTGTTAGTCCAGCAGGCGGGGAGGACACAGACCGAGGGTCGCCGCTGGGCTGACATTACCCAGCTCTGTGTGCACGAATGAATAAACCTTTTTTTAAAAAAAAGCTGCAGGGCCCTCCCTGGTGGCGCAGCGGGTTGAAGCACAGCACAAAGAATCTAAAGCCACTTCCGCATGAGTTCGATCCCCGCCTTCCCGGGGGGTGACCACATGGCGCGGCAGACCTCTCCTGACCCGCCCGCTGCTCCCCTCAGCAGTGGACTTCGTCGACCTGCCTATTCTGCTCCCCACTCTGTCTCTGGTGAAGCCTCTCACCCTCCACATCTCTGGCCTGTACCCCAGTTCTGTACAAATAAATAAAAAAATCTTTAAAAAAAAAGCTGCAAAGACCAGCCCCATCCTCCGTCCGCGCCGGCCCTCCCAGTCAGTGGCTGGCCAGCGAGAAGCCGCCGTGTTGCAGGCTGCTCTTGCCCAGACCCCTGGCAGGCTGGCCAGCCCGAGCCCAGGCCTCCGGCTCCAGACACCGCGCCGGCCCCACAAGCACCGGTTCCCTGCTGGCCACTTGCAACGTGGAGCTGAGTCCTCAACACCAGTCCCCCGCCAGGAAGGCCCGAGGACACCTGAAGGGGACGCCACGCTCACGGCGCTGCGCCCAGCGTGCAGGGGCCAGTGGGCAGCGCTGGCTCATGATGGTGAGCACTGCTGGGGGACCTGGCAGTGCCGACACCCCGTTACAGAAGCCCCCAGTTACGCTGTTCGTATCGCCGCCATGGTCATCAGGAACGTTCGGTTACTGAGAAGCGGGTCAAGCTCACAGCGGCTGGTACAAGTCTTTTCAAACTTTCTCATTTCTTTCGAAAGTTTAAATTTTACTGCCAGCAACGTACTGTGAGTCATTGACCATGCAGAGAGCAAAGGAGCCGAGACTCCCCTGAAGTAGCAGCTACTTGCACACCGCAGCTGCGCGCCCTGTTCCTGATAAAGGGGCTACGGGCGGCACGCGGCCAGCACCTGAGCGCTGGGGACAGGGCACGGCCACGGCTCGCGCCTTGGTATTCTGCTGCTTTTCCTGCAGCTGCCGTGGGCGTGCTCGCTCACGCCGGTGTGCGCTCGAGTCGGGGCCGCGGCGCCCCGGCCAGCCGGCACGACAGTGGAGGACAAAAGCCGGCACCTTCCTGCTCCCAGTGAGAGCCTGACCTCGGGGCCGGCCCTGCAGGAAGCCTGGACTGGGGCTCGGATGTGTGTGCTCGCGACAGGTCCACTGCAGCCCCACTGGGATGGCACCGAGCCTGGGTCTCCCCGGTGGAGTGCACCCCAACGTGGGCCTGGCACACGGGGACCCCAGCAAATGGGCCTGCGACGCTCACGCACCACTCCCAAGGGAAGGCAGGCACTGGAGCTTCGGCGGTGTCTGAGCCCGGGAGCGGGGCGCTGCTGCTGAGCACACCTCGGCGGCGCCCAGCCCCAGGGGTGCGTTCACCCCTTCCAGGGCCTGCCTGGACTGCCCAGTCTGAAAGGCCCCGGGAGGCGCCACCCACAGGCCCCGGGACAGCTGCAGGGTCACGCTCCCCGCTCCCCAGAGCCACTTCCCCCCCAGCCATGGCGCCGGGCTGCCAGCTGGCTTCTGAGGCCCCTCTGTCCCCAGGAGGCAGGCTCCGGGCTTCTGGCCAAGAGAGGGCTTTCGGTTTGCCGGGGAGCCTGGAAGGTCGCCTCGAGCGGGCCTGCAGCTTCCCCTGGGTTAGCAAAGAGGCGTCCACTGCTCGGGAGGGGCTGGCCAAACACCCTGAGGCCAGAGCACCCCCTCCCCAGGAGCAGGGCCCGGCAGAGGACAGGCCCCGCCAGGGAGCAGCCTGGGTGGCGCACGGGCCTCCAGGGAGGACAAGGACAGGCCAGGACCACAGGGGCCTCCTGCCCGCCCGCTGCCCCCAGAGGGAGTGTGGGGCCTGAGGCTGGGGTGGGAAAAGCCACAGCCTGTCCTGGAGGCCGGGGCCCCGGCTGTGGACCGATCTGCCCGGGCTGGCCGCGGAACCCGGACGTCACACGCTATCCTGCTCCCCGTCCCGGGGGCGGGCTCAGGGACAGCCTGTTCTGCGAGCAGAGGCCGGGGGAGGGGACGGGGCTCCTCCGGCAGAGGCGGCCATCTGTTCGCAGGGACGGTGCGCAGCACCTACTCGGTGCCAGGTAGCAGGGCGGGGGCGCAGTCCCTGCCTTCTGGAGGGACAGCGCTGGACGGCACCCCAAGCCTAGGGCAAGCGGCGGCCGAGGCCTAGGGCTGCGGGAGGAAACGGGCCTGTCGGGCGGGAACGTGCCTCTGACTGGTCAGGAGGTGGCGGGCTCGCCACCACGGCAGAGGGGGCGCGGCAGTGGCCGACGTGAGCCTGGGGCTCAGGAGGGGGGCACCCGGGACCCGCCCCGAGGCACTCCAGCGGAGACCCCAGAGCCCGGGCCGCGAGGACCCCGGCAGCCCGCACAGCACCCTGGCCCTTCTCTGCCAACTGGCTTCAGGGTGCCCGGCCCTGCCCCCAGCACCGTCAGCCCCGGGGACAGAGGCGCTGACTCCCCGGGTGCAGGGCTCCCCGGCACCCCCGACGACCGCGTCAGCCCACACAAGTCACACGGCCACCAAGCATGGGGTCCGGGCGGGCAAGAAGGCTGCACGTCGGGTCAGGACCCCGTGAGTGGGGGCCAGGGTGCAGCTGGCACTGCCGGGCAGCGCTGCGGATGGCCGCCCCTCAGAAGGAGTGCGCAGGGCGAGGGGCAAAAGGGCCCCGCCACAGGCGCCTCAGTCGGGGCGTCGCCCGCCTGGCAGGCACCTGTGGCCACGTGACGCCACGGGCCAACGAGTGCGAGAGGCGTCTGGGCCCTGGGAAGGCGCGAGGGCCAGGCAGACGGACTCCTTCACCTGCCCTCCTGACCGCGGCCCGCATCTGGCCTGACAGACGCGCGCGAGTGCCCTTGTGGGAGGGAGCCACGCTCAGGAAACCTGAGGCGCCGGCGCAGTGGCCAGCACTGCCCGTCCCCAGGGACCGCGTGCCGGCCAGGCCTGATGCGAACGCTCGACGCTGCCGCAGTGGCCAGAAGCTACCCGGAATGGCTAACTTCCAGTGAACGGAAACAAGGACGGAAACAAGCACGGCGAGAGACGGCGGCGGCCGAGGGCTGAGGGCGCCACATGTGTCCGTGGAGGCGCAACCCCACGGGCCGTTACCTGACTCTCCAGCTCACACGGCCTCCTCCAGCGTGGAGGCCAGCGCAGGCCCGGTGCTGCCAAGACGTGGCCGGGGGTCCGTGCGACCTACGAGCGGCGCAGCCCGCTGCCCGCTGGCCTTCCAGTGCCGGCAGCGAGAGACGGACTGGGTGGGGCCGCACACCGGGCGCTCGGCTCACCTCCCAGCGGCGCAGCAGGGACCCGAGGCCACCACGAAGGCCAGGCTGGCCCCAGCCGCCCCGGAGACGGAGAGCGGGGGAGGCCGCACTGGCAGGGAGACGGAGCGCCGGCACGGAACAGACAGGCCGCAGCCACAAGCGAGGGCAGGCGGGTGCCCGTGCGGCTCCAAGAACCACCACCCAGCACAGTGCAGATGCGGCCCCGGGAAGAAAACCTCACCGCGGCCTCCTGGGCGGGCACGACGCCCCTGGGTCGGCCCGCTAGGCCAGTCGGGCCCCGAGACCAGGGCTC